GGGGGGGGGAGGATGGGGGCAGCGGCTGCCAAACGGGCCGCCAGTTTGGCAGACTGAGGGAAGTTGGTGACGTTGACGTTCATGTTGACATTGGTCTTGTAGAAGCTGGCGATGGATGAACGGTAGCGGTCCATCTCTGTGGTGTAGTCCAGCATCGGAGTCAGGCTCGACACCTGCAATCAATAAAAACATGGCATGTCATGTTAAGGCTGCGTCATGTCACGGTGGAGAGACTCCCTGGGGGTTTGTACTGTGTGGAGGTGGTGGGCGGTACTGGGGGGCGGCACTGGGGGGCGGCACTGGGGGGCTGCTGCTGGAGCCCTGTCTTTGGGGAAACAAGAGGTCTTTCATTTTGGAGGAAATCCTGCCTGAATCTAAGACTCCCAGAACGGATGGTTGACCTGGTTAGATCTCAGGTCCTGGACTGGGCTTCACTTAAATCAAGACGACCTCGCAGGCCTCTCGTTTGAGCCACGCTGACCTCAGTTCAGTGTTGAATGTCAGCTGAAGGATGACTCACCTGCCCTTGTCCACTGTAACCATGGTGATTCGGGTGATGGTGGGAGGGGGCGGAGCTTCTCTGGAGCATTGAGGAGAGGTCGCTCTCCACGCACACACCGCTCGTCATGCCCGACATGACCTCACGCACACTGGTGTGCACACATGCACACGCTCACCAAGGACGTCTGTGAGCAGTTAGTTCTGCGTGGTCGACTTGTTTTGCTCTGTGAATGACAAGAAGGACAAAGATCGTGAAGGTGTTGAAGTCTTCGCAGACATTTCTCTTCAAGTTGTCTCCTACACAACAGCAGAGGTCAAACTATAACGTTCATTCTGCATTACTGAAAACTTGTTGGTCTTTAATATGTTGCAGAGATACAAGTGGCACGTTTGTTCATGTTTCATGGTTTGTCCGTGACACAGTGCCGGTCTTTTTGGTGACTACTGTGACCGACTGACTAGGCATCCGTTATTCTTCTACTCATTCTTTCAGCTCAGTCAGTGTCAATTAAACACAGAAAACTTGCAAGAACAAACAGTGGAGGACCAACTGGTCCAACAACGCTGGTCCAACACTTAAATTAAAAGACCTGAATGACCACGTAGGCCACACAGCTTCCTCAGACACCTCTCCTCCAACAAAGGAGAGGAAACAGGCACAACACTGAGGTGGTACCAGCACATCTTCAGCGCTTTCAACAACACCATACTGTGTAATTTATGTGTAACAGGTGTGTTCTTGCAGGTGCCCCCACTCTTCTTTTTGTCCTGTCTCCGTGTACCATCATTTCCAGTGTGAGCTACAGCACCGTCTTTGCAGATATCCCACCGGGTTTCACAGTCAAAGTTCAGCTACATTAAATACTCTGGCCTCCAACGTGCCTCCAGACGGATTCAGGCAGGAAGTGGAGGTTATGTGTAGAGAACAATGGAGGAACAGTTCATGGAGTTCTGTGACCAGAGTCCAGTTCTGCTGGGACCAAACAGGAGAGTAAATGAATACTGTGATTTACATTCATGTCATTTACTCTCTGTCGCAGCTTGTGGCTGTGCTTTGCATCGTTCGCTCCACCTTGAAAACCACTGGTGCATTTGGTGTGAGCATGATGACAGGCTGACCTCTGACCTCTGTCCACACACAGATGGACAAATCTGAAAGCATTCACTGGCATTTGTGGCTGAGTGTGTGTGTGTGTGTGTGTGTGTGTGAGAGAGAGAGAGAGAGACAGCCAGAGACAGAGAGAGGAAATGTGTGTGCGCGCTGCTGTGTGAATGTGCATGTGTGCTGTGTGTGTCTGAAACAGGAAACAAAATGTGCACGGCTTCAATGAGTGTGCTTCTCAGCTGAGTGCATGTGCGCAGTCAGTGTGAACATGTGTGTGTGCCCCACCCCCCCCCCCCCCCCCGGCGGCAGAAACAA